GTAAAGGTAAAGAGAAGGAAGGAAAGGTGGAAAGGGAAGGGGAAGGCCCTGGTCTTCCAGGCCCGAGCCACTTCAAATAGAAGATACAAAAAAAGACAAAGAAGAGAAAGAGAAGGGAAGGGAACGGAGAAAGGGTGGGGAAAGGGGGAAGGAGGAAGGCAGGGGGAGAAGCAGAAGGGAAGGGAGAATCTGAAGGAGGTAAAGGAAAGGAAGGTAAAGGTAAAGGGAAGGAAGGAAAGGTGGAAAGGGAACGGAAGGCCCTGGTCTTCCAGGCCGAAAGGAGAAAGGAGACAGGAACTGGCTACTTTTTACACTTTCTTTTCTACACTTTAGCAAGTGGCCTGGGTTCACCTTTTCAAGCTCAAAAAAGGCTCTTCCAGGCCACTTGTTTTTTCTACACTTTTTCTCCTCAATTTTCTAAAAATTGTATTCAATTTTTACAATTTTTTCTTCAAACAAGTCTCTGTCGGGTCGGGATGCGACCCGGTGACGTCTCTGAGCTCAAAAAAATGCGAAATGTTTAACTAATCTATTTTACCTTTTTGGAGGGCTGCGCTCTCTGTGTCTATTCCCCTTAACGGGTCCATCGCTCGGCCCGGCGCTCGGAGCTGGTTCACCGGGAGCTTCCTTGCAGAACTTTCTCTTCTCCAGGGAGGGAGGGAGGGAGAGAGCGAGAAAGAGTGAGAGCGCAAGGGAAAGAGAGCGGGCGGCTCATGCGTATTTTGTGCCAAAAATACTATTTCTTCTATTTGAAGACCTGTTTGTGAGCACGTTTATCAACCTGTTATCTTGACGCTTTTCTTCTATTTGTCCCGGAACCCTGCCACGGGAGGAAGGTGCAGCCTTCTAATTGAAAATATTGTTGTTTCTTCTCTAATAGTTTCCCGTACTATAATATCTTCTATTTGTTTTGCCCGGGCTTGTGGGCCATCTTCTAATTGAACCGGTCGGGTGTTCAAAACCGGGCACGCTTTCAAATAGAAGATTTTCACAACTAATTTCTTCTATCTTAGGCGTCTGGATTATATGTCTATGTTCAGTCGACCCAAGAAAGCAGAAAAAGGTGCGATTGTTCTGCCGCAAGGAACCATCACGACGTTGGCTCCAAGGCCCGTACCATTGGCACCGGTCTTGCAAGAAACCCCATCGGAACCCGGAGTGCAGCTCCATCCACTCCAGCCGTGGTAGTGATCAAAACCCTTGCCCCAATCGAAGAGGGCCACTGCCATGCATCCCCAGATGCCACAGAAGCCGTGAACTGGGCTGGCATCCACAGGGTCATCAACCTTCAGCTTTTGGAGAAGCATGGATGCTCCCTGGTAGACAAATCCTCCAATCAATCCAGTAGCGAAGGCTGAACCACATTCCATGCTTCCACAGCCTGCTGTGATGGAGACCAAGCCTGCAAGGATACCATTGCACAAGCCACCGACATCGTACTTCTTCGTGATGAAATAGCGAAGGACAAACACGGTGATTCCACCTGTGGCAGCAGCCAGAGTCGTGTTCATCGCCACCTGTGCTGCCAAAGCACCATCGTTCCCGGTCTTCATCGTGAGGGTGGATCCTGGGTTGAAGCCATACCAGCCGAACCAAAGCGCGAAGGTTCCCAGCACCACCAAGGGAAGGTTGTGAGGCTCAAACTCCTCTGGGTTCACGAAGCGGCCCTTCCTTGGTCCCAGCACAACAGTACCAGCAAGGCCACTGACTCCACCAGTGAGGTGGACAATGCCACTGCCTGCGGACCAGCGACGAGATCTCTATACAATGAGGGTCCAAAAGGCATTTTATAGAGTCGAATCTCCTATCATCGCCCACAAACAAGTCCAGTTCAAAAGGGCAAGTGATCAAGTGAAGCTCGAGCCTAAAAAGACGCTTGATTTGGAATTCCGAACACCAGCCCGCCTGCAAAGTCCATGTATGAGACATCGAAGACTGTGGCCAGCCAACCTCCACCCCATGTCCATGCCACAACCACGGGATAGATGAAGCTCGTCATAATGAGGGCGTAGGCTGCATAGGTAGGGCTTTTCACCCGCTCCGCAACTGCACCACTCACGATTGTAGCACCAGCAGTGCAAAAGGCCTCTGCGTGTGTGTATGTGCACAGCTTTCCAACCAAAAACAGCATGAATGAAGAAGAAACAAAACACATTTTTGGGTACGACAAGGCACCCATTGAAAGAACCAACTCAACATGGTACTCTGGCATCCATCGCTGGATGCATCACAAGTGACAGGCGTAATGATTCCGGTTGTTGAATCTTGAGTGTAGAAGCCAGTACCGAAGAACCCTGTGGTGCCAATGAAGCCATTTTCAGCTGCGCCGCCATATGCAAATGCCCACCCCAAACTCCACCAGCCCAAGGTCCCACAGCAAACATTGACCAAGTTCTTCATCAAGACATTGGAAGCATTCTTCGCCCGGCAGCAGCCAGTCTCCAACATCGCGAAGCCAGCATGCATGAACATGACCAACGCTCCACAGAGGCACAGCCAAGCTGAATCAAGGGCACCACCCAGGTTGTTGATGGAACTCTTCACTGCCGCGATCTGACGGGGAAGCATGCGAAGTTACAGTATGACCAGGACAGCGAACGGCAAAATCCGAACTAAAAATGAAAGACGCAACACAACTCTTATCTCAACATCTTGACCCATCCTGTGTGTTGAAGTCAGTGACGGTCACTTGCAAGCGTCTCCCGGAGTTGAGGGACTCCAGGTGGTCAAAGCGCAGTTGCTGATCCTCTAGCACAGCATGAGTTTGGTTCAGGAACGAATCCGTTGAAAATCCTCACTTCCTAAAAAGTGTCGAATGTCCTCCACCAGTAGAATGTCGACGCATATACTTTATGTTCTGTCTATGTATGTATCGATCTATGTATCTATCGATCTATCTATTTATCTATCTATACAGTATATATATATATATGTATTTATATGTCTATTTATAAATAACATAGTTTATTCATGTAATTATATTCCTGTCGGGGAGAAAGCTGCACATGGTTGCACTCCATTATCATGTGTGGCATAGTATTGCTGCAGAGGGACTCATCCAATAGTGCTGTATACAAAAATCATCTTAAGTTGTGTTGGAACTACCTGCAATCAGCTGACACTTCGGGTGTATTCTCTGTGTAAACCGCTCCTTGAGCAAGGTCTGCTGCTCGTGAAGTTCAGCTTGTAGTGCTGCGAGCTCCACCTTGCCATTACCCCGAACCCATTTCCACATTAAAAACTGTAGCAAAGCGCCCACCTCAAAGGGTTCATCGGCCAGTGCCACGGCCTTGGAGTATGACGAGGCCAGGTGTTCAGTTTGCAGTGACCTACACTGTTTAGAAATGCTCAAGGAAAGACTCTTCTTGGGAGAATCACAACCTGCTATGTCCACACGAGCCGCTCGCGGTGACCCCGGAGAAATTGGTTGCCGCGAGTTTCAAGTCATCAAGTTTCAGGTTTCATGACAACGTTCATGACGTTTAACAAGCCACACGTCGGTCTTATCCCACATGAATTCTCACGACTGCCCAAGATTTGAAGCTTCCAAAAAAATAACACCTGCTGAGCTGGGTTTCCCTGGCCACGAGTAGGGTCGCAATCCCTGAGGCGGATGGCCAACGTGGATTTCTGTGTGTGTGCTACTCTTCATCTAAAATAATATAGGTGACTGGCGTACTTTGGGGAGGACGTGGATCACATAGAAGGTCCAGCTCTTTTGTGGAATCAACAAGACAGTATGTTCTGAGGACCATGGAGCCAACAACCGGTGCAGAAACAAGACAAAACCTGTAAGCGTTCGGAAGCACACGACAGTTCGTCAAGAGCACCTCGGAGAAGAAGCAACACCAATCGACATAGAAAGGACCAACGATACATGCATGGGGATCAGCTGGCTGGGCAGCCAAGGGGGGAGTCATTTGTTGTGTACTTTGATTGTTTCCCGGGTGGCGATCTTGCACGCAATAAGTTTTCTTATTCAAATTGTGGCGCTAGTTCCTATCCAATCCAAACCAGGCTGCAGGTCTTCGACCTGTTTTTGGCCGCTCGTGCGACCGGACGTCGCACAAATCGAGAAGAGTACCAACTTGAACCATGCCACTACTCGTGGCTCAAGTGTCTGCGCAAAAGAAAGGGCGGCACGCCAGGGGAACGGGGCGGTGGACGTGGCGACTATTCGCAGTCGCTGGCTTCGACGTTTGCGTTTTTTTATTGTTCACGATTGTTCAACCAGAAGTGAATCTTCATATGGTAGCGGAGCCCTGCGGGGCATCCAGGGCAGAACATTCTCACTAGGTTGTTCCAATTTGACTTTGTCGTGACTCACTTTCCGTAACGAACTGAGCCATGGCAGAGTCTGGAAGTCAAGGAGCACGAGAACGCTCACGAGGGCCGAGAGGCCGATCGACCACACGTGGCCGCAGTGCCGCATCAGGACAGGAGGTGAGCCGAAGTCGATTCGAACGGCTTGAGAGTCAGGTTGGTCACTTGAGTGATACTTTGCTAGCTCTAGGACCGGCCTTGCAACAGTTAGTTCAGCTTCATGCACAACCTTCGACAGCCGCACCAAATGTTGGCTCCCCGCCTGTGGTGATGCCGGCACAAATGCCTGTGCCTCCGGTTCGAACTGTTGATCCACAGGTTCCCACGAACGCCGTCCCGCCGAATCCGAATCCAGAGTTCGTGCCAAGCACCACTGCTGCATCTCAAATGCCGTGTCCGAGCACTCCAATCCCAGTCCAACCAGCCGATCTAGGTAATCCGAATACCCAAGTGGACCCATTGCAGCGCAATGATCCATGGAGGAATTGGTATTCCCCGTCTCGGACAGCCGGCATCCCTGATCAGCCTTTCCCAACGAGCTTGCCGGCGTCACCAGATCGGTATGGTCCACCACCTTTTGCATCCGCTCAGAACTTGAATGGAGTGAATGTCCCACCACCTCCGGGAATCACAGGAGTTTCAGGACCCCAATCCATCGTAGGTCAGCAGCCCATCCAAATAGACACCCCACATGGGTCAATGAACGATGGTGCAGAAGAGAACCCATTCAAGCGAAGTGAACGTTGGATGCCATCAGTCCCAACACCATCGTGTGAAGAGTGGAAAACTCGTGCAGGGGAAATCACCGGGTTCCTCAACTGGCTCACCACCCTCGCGTCTTGGACCGGCCTAGGATCCAACGCGTATCCTTCGGAGATTATGATGGCCATCAGGGAGTCAGAGCCCCTCGGATGGCATCGCCTTCAGCCGAGCCAGGTGACCCGATCTGTGAGACTTTTGTCTATTTTGAAGCTTTGTTTTAGTAACCATGCGCGAGCGAATCTAGTCATCAAGAACTATGAAGAGTCCAAGGGGTACACACGTTGCTGTGGTTTCGAATGCCTTCGTCTCATTGCCAGAGAATTCTCAGTCAAAACCCGGACTGAGCTCCTGTTCTTCCGAACACAACTGGCAAATAGCAATATCACAGCACCCACAATCCCCGAGGTAATCAGAAAGATTCAATCAGAGTTGATTCAATATGAACGGGTATCCCAGTTGGTTGATCCTTCCGTGAACGTCGCAGGGCTTGAGTTCGTTGAAGCCGATAAAGTGTTGATCCTCCTTCGTGCTTTGCCTCAACCCTGTCGCCAGTGGGTAGTTCTCAATGCCCCAAACGAATCTTTCCAGACCTATGTCGATTGCGCTCTTCGGTGCGAAGCACAACAGCGCATTTGGTCCGACCTCAATGGCAAGCCGATTGCAAGCCTTTCAGGTTTCGATCATAAGGGCAAGGGGAAGGACAAAGGGAAGAAAGGGAAAGGTTCTCAGGAGAAAGGAGGGAAGGATCATGCCAATACTGGCAAAGGAAAAGGATCAGGATCAGAGACACGCGCCTGCTTCCACTGCAATGAGCGAGGCCATCTCGCCGTCGATTGTCCGAAGAAGCCGACAGGAGGAAAAGGGTTCGGTGACAAGGGATCCAAAGGAGAAGGAAAGGGAAAGTGGAAGGAGAAAGGTAAGAAAGGAGAGAAAGGTGAGAAGGTTTCGAAAGGTAAACCCAAGGGGAAGAGGTGGAAGAGGGCCACAGAATTTTCACAACAGCCGGAGTCTGAGGCTGGAAGTGAGATTTGGTCTGAACCTGATGTTGAGGAAGGTGGCCGTTTGTCGATGTTCTCATCCCCATCCCAAACTTTGGATCCGTTTTTCATGCGCCAATCCACCGAAGACCATGATCCATATTTGTGGTTAGTTGATTCCGGTGCCAGCAAAACTGTTGTCTCTGTTCATGCGTTGAAAGCATATAAAGTCATCCGAGAAAGGGAAATGCAGAATCCCATCCAGCTTCGGACCACATCAGGGGAACAAGTCGCCATCGGTCGTGAGTGTATGCTCGAGGTTTTCTTTCCAACGTTCATCGAATACGATGACCGTGAGAAGTCGAAGTTGGTTAGATACGAAGTCAGAGCTGTAATCGGTCCAGTCGAGCATAATTTGCTGAGTGTCCACAGCCTCACGAGAATGGGTGCGACTTTTGAATTTGGTCCCGAAACGTGTTCCATTCGTGTTTCTGACATACAGTGCAGCATTTGGGCAAATGTTCCCTGGCTTCAAGCTCATCATCGCCGGGGAAGATCCTCCTCGAAAGAGGATGTCGAGATGCAGGCCCAGATTGTTGAGCCTTGGTCCGACACAAGCCCATCCAATCAAGGTTCCAGAAGTCCAAAGAGTAGGTCTAAGATCACTGTTTCTCAAGACACGTCCTTTCGCTTTGAGCCGAACATGCCACGGACTTCGAACCATGTAAAGATGTTGCAATTTGCCGACTCGCCTGAAGTGTTTTCGTATGAGCCCAACCCAGAAGAGCCCAATCACATCCCAAGTGCAGAGAATGATCGACCCATGTCTTTGCACCTGAAAGCCGAATCAGTTGATCTTGTTGACATTCCGCTGCCCGACCCAGGTGACATGGAAGAACGACATGATCCAGAAACAAGTGGATCAGGAGCTGCACCAGCAAGCTATGAGCAACTCAGTCGAAAAGTCGAGCTTGAGCTGAGTTTGCATCGTCGGAGAGGACACTTGCCATTCGATAACCGGTGCAGCCATTGTCAGAAGAGTCGTTCGGTCATCCGTCATCCGAGAGTCACCGATCGGGGTCGAACACCTGAAGGTCACAAAGTTCTTTTGGTCCAGGCTGATTTCATGTTCATTGAGTCCCACAAAGTCCTGGTCCTCAGTGATGCAGGGACAGGTCTGTTAGGCACTGCATCTATCGATTCGAATCCCGACAGGACTATTGCAGACATCAAACAGTTTTTCCGTCAATTGGGGATCAATGAGACTAGCAGTACTGTTGTTGAAGTCCTAGTGGACAGTGAGCCTGCATTAGGTGCTCTCCTGAGACGAACAGGATTGACCTTGCAGATCCGTGCTGCCGCACCTCAGGCACACGAGACAGTTGGCCTGGCCGAGAGAAACGTTCGTCGATTCAAAGAAATGGTTGCTTGCATTAGAAGTGACATGAGGGCACACGGATATGACTTGACCCGAAACGCTGAATGTTACCACTGTGTCCTCCAATATGTTGCACAAACACACAACCATTTCGGAATCGGTGCATCCACAGGTCAGTATGAAAATCTGAGTTCACGACGCTCTCCCATCGAGCTTGTAGTTCAAAAGAATCGACCTGCCCCTTCATGCTCTCTGTTCGGTAGTGTGGTCCACGCCAGGGTGCCAGATTCTTTAGCAGCGGCCATCCCAGAGGGAAGAAGATTCGTCCCGGCCGCTTATTTGTTCATTCGACCCAACAGTCTGTCTCATGTGGTCTCATCAAAGATTGGTTCAGATGTCCATGTGTTTCAGAGTGAGATCAAGCCGCTGTCGCATGTCGTGTGGGACCCATCACTCGCACCTGCTTTGATTAAGGAGATTGCTCGAGAAGACCGACCGCCGAATCCTGACCTTGAGAAGATTGCCGAGCCCCAACACGACCAGGTGGGAATCAAAAAAAGTCTTCCCCTCAATGGTCCTCCCCGTGCTTGGATTAAAGATCATGGGCCCACGCCAAATTGTTCGGCATGCAACTCAGCCAGTAGGCATGGAAGAAAGCACTCTGCACCCTGTTGCCGTCGTTACAAAGAGTGGGTCGAGTCCGAGAGAGAGCGAATGAGAGAGTCATTGCCCAAAGAGTCCATTGAGTCCCATGAACATGTCCCAAAGCGTCCCGATGCATCAGTTGTTCATGATGTTGATGCATCAAGCCCCAATCCGTCCCATCCAACGGGAGGAGTTCGATACGGCCAGCGTCCACCCATGATTGCAGGTGATAGGGTGCCCACTCCTGAGTCTGAGGGAATCGTGCCTGGCGTATCGTCGAAAGATCGGATTGGCGTCGGGCCTGGAGATGACATTGACATGGAGGAGTACGACCCATCAGTTGTAGGAGATGATGAAATGCGCGATGCTTCAGCAGATGGTCCTCCTGATCCGGCAAAGATGCCAATGGACCTTTCGGAATTTGCATCGTGGCTCATGCCACCACCAGAGGAGTTGATTCAGAGCCATGCCAATCAGAATGTGTTTTGTCCCATTTTTGTTCCTCCCAAACACGCCGAA